CTAGGTTCGGTGTGAAAATTGATATGCATACTTGAACCAAAATCCAGCATCTTCAACGAGATGAGACAATCTAGAAAGTACAGAAGCATTACTTTTATATGAGTTAAACCGAACGAATGCTAATTAGAAATGAATGTTTCTGGTCTCTAGAAAATAAAGCAAGTCAGATATACGTGAACCACATTTGATCATGAATAGGGGTTCAAACTAAAATGGTCTACATGGTCTGATAACGGCAGAGAATTGAAAAAGTAATACACCCCGAGCAAAAATTTGATTTATGCCGTCTGTCAACGTTCTCTTTCGCTCAATATTTAAGTTGGTGAAATTACACACAGCTGTGGTAATTGTAAGTGTTAATCATCTGCAGAGGGATACTCAGACCGCATCATGTTGTTGAAGTACGTAACAAGTATTGAGATGAATTGCTGTTGGTTACGTTCTAAGTCTCACGATCTAACTCCTACTATCAGGAGCTGATTTTTCTTTTGTGTTTTAACAAATTAAAGAAAATCAACAATCAGTAAGTTTGAATATGCTCTAAGAAACACACAGTAGAATAGGAAAAGCATACCAATTTAGACGGTCGAATTCAGAAGAAATTTGCAGCAAATCCGTCAGTGATGCTGAACTCCGACGTCTCAATGAGCCTTCCGTTCGCTGCAGTTTTCGATGTCGTTCCCTCGCCCTCATCCGTCTGAACACAGTAGAAAGTCCTGGAGATATGTAGGCCTTTTCTCCATCATGAGTGCCTGCCTCATTGGCCGCAGTTTCGTCGCCGTCAAAGCTTAGCGAGAGGGAAGTAGTCACCTGCTTTTTGTAGGCAGTTCTACGTGTATCGGAGTTGGGGGAGTTGCTGGTGTCTTGCCGACCTCGGCTCACCGAACTCTTATGACGGCGCAGCGAGGGCTGTGAACCCACAGTGCACTGACTGCGGAAAAAGCTCTGACGGCGAACTATTTGGTGAAAGGATCGACAGAAGTCCTCAAAACTGACAATTCCATCTCCATCAGCGTCCAGCTGTCGGAGAATGTCGTCGGCATCCTCAGAACTCAGGT